CATGTGACTATCTAAATACTCATTTCCTAAATTCATAACATGGCTTTTCTTAAGATTAGGAAGGACATCTTTACATAGCAAGGCAGTTTTTAATACTATCAGGTCCAACCACATTCAATTTAAAAAAACCTTTAAAGCTGAGCTGAAAATCAAGTTTTCTTGAGAAGGAAATTTCCTGATGTTAAAAAATTATTACAAATTGGGGTACATTATTACAAATTGGGGTAGAAGCTGTTTTCCACTGCTTATCATTTTGAATTCTGTGCTAAGAATAGATTCTTATGAAAGAGCTTCCTTGCAAAAAACCTGTAATCATTAGTGTAAATTCTGTGCAGTCCCATGAGGTAACGGCTAGTCACACTAGCCAAGAGAATAGAAACATAACCAAAGAAGAAAAAAAAAAAAAAAAAACCACAAAACACCCACACCACCACAATTGTTCAAGTTTGTAGTGGTTTAGCTTTTCCTCAGTTTCCTCAAGAGAGGTAAGGTTTGGAATTTTCCTGTCTCCAGAACAAGATATCTGACTATAGGAGAACATGATGAGAATTTTGTGACTGAATGTTGAACCTGACCTTCAGAACTATTTTGCTTGCATGCGCATGGAATTCAGAAGTTGGGTCCAGCTGTTATAGAGTGAAAACAACCCACTGAGGCTTAGATTAAGGAGACTCAGGCAATCAAAATGACAAAATACCAGTTGAAGGTTTCAGCTGGAAAAGGAAGTATTGACATTTGTCCATTTGAAGTTTTGCTTGTTTGCTTGGTTGTTTTGGATTTTTTAAACATACATCCATCCTTACCTGCATTTCAAGAAGCTGGAATTCCAATTGAAAAGACAGGGAGTGGCAATTCCCTGATAATCTGTGCTTCTGCACTGTTCTGTTTGTAGCTGTTATAAAATAAAGTTAACAAAATACTTGATTATAATTCTATTCAACAATTTTTGCATTTCTTCCGTTACTCATATTTAAAGTACCAACTGATACCATCCATCATATCAATAAAGAAGTCAAGTTAAACATGTTAAAAAGACCACCAAAACAACTTCACAGTGGTCTTTCACTTTCCCACTACACAAAGTACTGTATTTACTCAGAAACTGTTTTGTCAATAAAGAAAATTCTATTGTATTTCAAAATAATTGTCTTTCTGCTAACATTGAAAGTAGAATTACAACATGCATTTGCAAATGTAATGAACCGAAACAGTGTGCTCAGTATAGCACCAGTAAAGGGCATAAAAATGCTTACTTTTTTCCACTGTTTTCTTGGAATGACTTGTGAACTGAATACCAGTAAATTTCATTAAAAATGAAAGATCTGTTTCTAGACTTTCAAGTTGAGCTTTCAGGTCTGACGGAGATTCATGTCCCTTAGATTGTCCCTGAAATTCTCTTTGGAATGATTTTCTAGAATTGAAAAAGAAAAAAAATCAAAATGGCAAAAGACCCAGACATAAGAACATGTTTTGTCACATCAGTACAGCAATACCATTAAATAAAAGGCATTTGTAATGCGATCTGATGATTTTCAGACCAAGATTAGTTTTCAATGAGTCAAATTTCAGTTGGATCATATACTAGGAACAGTAAACTATTCTGACTTACATAAATACTTTATGTTCACTGCCAGGCAGACACAGCCTTTATTGTATGTCTTGAGATGTAAGTATCCATTTCGAGGAACATACAACAGAAATGAGCTGTGATGCCTTTACTCATTTAAATGGCTTATTTTATCTATGGAGTGTACATTTACTATGGAATATCAGTTAAATAATGGAAATAAAAAGCCCTAACATGGCACTTCTTTAGCATATAACTAGTCACACCTGCACATGTCCCCAGTACCACCCACTTTTTTTTTTTTTAAGTAAATGTGCACTGAGCTGTTTCACAGTGCATAATGGAAAACACAGCTTTTGCAGTCAACAACTTTGCAGGGCCCGCACAATAACACACCTGATATCATGCTCCGACCACTAAGACTGCCTTTAAAAAAAAAAAGCAAACAAACAAAATCCTAAAAAAACCCCCCAAACTACCAACAGAAGGCACTAAAAAGAGATCAACTATTTATTATTTGTAATCTTTTACCATATATAGCCCACGTCCTAAACAAAGATCAGCACTGTAAAAATAACATAAGGGAAGTCCTAACATAGAGGCAAAAGCTTATCCTGAACAATTTTGACGAAGAAACACTATTAATCCAACATGTGAAAAAAGGCATACATTGACATTAATATCTCCTCGTCAGAAAAAAAGGTGGATTCTTGTTGGTTATCTTCATACTTTTCAGCCAATAGTTTAATTTCTTCTTCCAGTGACTGGATTTCATCTTTATAAACTTGACAAATGCTGTTGTCCATTTCTCAGAATCAATGTTACTAGATAAAACAAAATAAGTATATTTCTTAGGCCAAATTAAAAAAAAAAAATCCATTTTCAAAATAAAATTATTTTTATCCAAGGAATTAATTTAAGAAATTAAAATGAGACAGTTCTATTATATTTTATGACTTCTGAAAACTGAAGAATCGGTACATACAATTTTTAAATATCCCAGATAGCTTTGACAAGTATAATAATTTATAATTCCGGAGTGTCAAACACTCCTGTTTGCTATGGAAGATTAAACTAACATATAAACCTTGATCCTCAACCAAATTTGACAGGAATTCTGTCACCAACTTGAAAAGAGAATTAGGCTTTCAGCAAAACTCCGCTCTTAATACTACAGTACTCTGTCATCAATGTAACTCCTATTTAAACCCTAGAAAGTCCACTTAGAAAGACACTCATCTGCAAGTAGACACTAGAAAAGCAGAAAAGCCATTTTTTCCATAATTCTGAATGTAACAAAGCTTCCTAAGAAACATGGTAACTCAGTCTGCTAAAAGAATCATGAACAGGAAAGATCCTACTTCCAGTGAATACAGGAAGCTACTAGATACCACCAAGAATGTGACAAAGAACAAATTTCTGACTTTACATAAAAGAAGAAAAAAGTTTTCTCTAAAATAGATAACAATTTTGAAAAAAAATGTAGTTTTGTTTTATTAGTTCCTCAAAGACTTAATTCCTTGAGTCCAAATGTAGTTATTAAACCAATTTTAAGACACAGATCACTGCATAGCCTCCAAATACAGAAGTTAAATCAGGAATCTAATGTAGTCAAAGGCTTTCTTTAAGAATCCTTTTAACTAATCATGATTTCATCCACGAGCATATCCAGCTGTTTCACATTTGCTGTAATAGAACAACAAGCTGTTCTGCAGATAGAAAATAACCCTAATCAGATACATAAACTGCATCCAGCTTTGACCAATTCACCTAACAATCCACCTGATCAAATAAAGCACAGCTGTTCCCACTAACACCATAGCATAATCTGCCTTTCAAGTAAACACTAGTAAAGAGACACAAAGAAATCACCATGTTTCACAAATAATTCAAAATAAACGTACATCAATTTTAAGAAAAAAAAAAATCTGACATTCAGCCTAGACATGACACATTCAAAGGACAGTGGAGAACATTATGCAGCTCAATACTGATGTATTAATACTTTCAACCAGGAAGAAGAAAAAAAAAGTCTAGTTTTACACGTTTTTAAACAACCCCTACTGTATTTGCAAGATCCACACTAACATGGTTCAATAAAAAGAAACAGCACCTGAATAACACATATAAGAAAACAACATTCAAAACATGGTTTGCGTTAAAAACGTATTTAGTGAATAAAGAAAGTATATGCAATTAAAGAATCTCTGAGATTGTGCCTAGTCCTGACCTCCTCTGAAATTTTAAAGCAATTTTATGCAATGTATGACAACAAACAAGATCAATGGGGACAAGAAATAGTTCTCCAACTTTTAATGCATCCTATTAGCTTTTTTTTTCTTAAATGGATACATTGAAGAAAGTTTTGGTCATAAGGGTACATTGGGAAAAAGAAAAACATTACAATAGCCACAACTTTACCCTAGGTTGTTAGCTAATTCCTCTTTTAACACCTAGCTGTTTTGAAGATAGTAACACAACACATATATTCCTTACAGCTATTTTAACTCAATAAAGTTAAATAGATTTAATAAACTGCAGAAGACTCAAAGACTATTCATAACTTCAAAGAGCATTATCTCCAGAAAAAAATACCCGTACGTACTTTTAATTAAACATAAATTTAGCGACAATCAACCACTCATTTTTCCTCACCCTAAGCATACACACACACACATATATATATATTTACGCATTAACGGTCAATATCTCACATTTCTACGTACCTGCCCGTACACACCCCTAAGCATTTGCTTTTATGCTGCCACAAGAAGAGCTGGGAAGAGCATTTGAGAGTTTGCGAGAAACGAGCTGGTGGGGTTCTGTGTTTCGTTGCTTTGCTTCTAGCCTTCAAATCTCACAAGGTAACGGCTAGAAACACGACTCAGAGAGCCGGTGCTAGCCCCAAGACACGGGTTGAGGCTCACAGGTGCCAGAGACTGCCCCGGCGGCACAACGCGCGCCCAAGGAGAGCAGCCTGTCAGCCCCACCCGCCCCCGGAGCCCCAGCGAGCGGAGGAGCTCCCACAGACCCGACGCCCGGAGGGCCGGCGCTGAGGAGAGAGGCGGCCGGGCGCTGAGAGAAGGAAGGGAGAGAGAGAGAGAGACACACACACACACA